GCATACACTGCAAAGAACAAAAGAAAACAAACAGGATACAAATAGGCTTTTCCAGCAGAACAGATCAGTATTTATGTACACATTCAGAGGACAGCCATCCAGAACCCTGAAGTTCAGAATAAGTCTTTCTACTCACTCAGATCCAGTACAAGACACCTAATTGAGAGTGATTTGTTTTATACAGTCTAAACTGACAATCATGATGCAAACACAGATGACCTGAACTTTCATTTTTTCCTCTCCTAGCTTTCTGCGCAGGGGAGCCAGAGCACGTATAATATCGTTCTTATGCAAACCAGTGTTTCGTCTGCAACTCCAGTCTTGTTCTTATAGTCAAAACCATTTAAATTAGAACTGGATTAATCCAGCAGAAATACATCTGCGAACATTTTTTGGCCTGTTAAAATGCTTACGTCCATACACTTCCACATCAGTATTCAGCACGTCTCCCACCCTCGCAGTTAGACAAAAGGAGCGGCCTCTGGCTCAGATGGCCCCGAGCAGCAAATCCCCGGAGAATGGGGAAGTACAACTGGAAAAAATAGTACCTTATTCTTATTATCTTCCTTTGGCACAGCTGTCGGAGACAGAGCACTACATGCTGAGGCAACATGGCTATTTCTGCAAACGTTCATGCTGCTAAGTGGGAAACAACTTTTAGATGTGAAGAGGGTTATGCATAGCATCAGGCTCCCTCCTCCTGGCTCACATACATTCACCAGAGACACTTAACACATCCCATCAGGAAACAGCAACAACATCTGATTGCTCAGCCCGAGTTGAATGCATATACAAGAACTTGCCCTAAATACTGAAAGCATTAAAAATCTACACATCCTTGAAATATTCAAGAAGTAACCAGGAACACACTTAATGCCATATTTTTTGGCATTGCAATTCCACTAACAAAAGGAAAGCTAATATATTTGTGAAAATTTGCTCTGCTTTATTTTAAAATGCACGTTAAGAAATATCAGAGTCTACCTACCACCTGAAAATGATTACCCTGCTCCGATAGCCCTCAGAGCACCAAATACATCTGCAATGCAGATACACAGTGTATCCAAGAGGTCCTATAACAAGAAAAGGCCAAACGAAGAGAACCTAGATAAGAACAAGAACTAATGAAAATCTTAGAAGAACACATGCCATCACAAACCCGTGCGGTAGCACACAGCAGTGCTTGTTGCTTTATTAGGCTTTTATATTAAGCACAGCCCCGTGTTCTATGCCATAGTTCTATTAATTAATACTTCATTAGGCAGAAAAATAAACCAGACGGGAAAAAAGTCTCACGTATTCAGCGCTGCCCCAAAAGAAGCTCATGCAACATTTTAGCAACCAACTACTGATCGCAGATACAGAGAGGCAGTTTCTCAGTTTGGTTTGCAATCAGTTCTAGTCATCGTTCATTAGGACTGAATCATACATTCCAAATGAAAAACTGGAAAAAAATACATCTGCGAGATGGAAAAGGCAACAACTCCAAAGCCACTGAATTCTATTCAGTGCATTTTAAAAACATTTTGCAGGTGATTTTTTTTTCTTGTTTGGGTTTTTGGGGGCTGGGATTTGGTGCTTTGGTTTGGTGGGTTTTTTTTTTTGATCTTTCACCACAGCACTCAGAAATTAATTTCTGAGTGGAGAGAAGTTTTATATATTCACATGTTAAAGAGTATTTGCTGGTCTAGGCATGGTAAAATGCATTCCTCTATTCCAAGGCAGCACTTTCCAGGGACACTACACACCAATTCCCAGGTGTGAACAGCGCAGAAGTGACAGCACGTCCCTGCTGCAGGTCCATGGGAACGTAGTTCTCTGTTTTAAGTAAGCCCAGTCTTGATGTAGGATGGATTCCCATTCTTGTTCCACCAAACTGAAAGCAAATGCTACAAATGGACACTTTTTACTGCCTTTTTTTTTTTTTTTTTTTTTTTTTTTTAAGTTTTCTAGTATTTAGAAAATCTGCATTTCAGCAAATAAAGGTGAAAAGAAAAAAAGAAATTGTTTTTTGATTACCTATTTCATAGAATCATAGAATCCTTAGAGTTGGAAGGAACCATCAAAAGTCAGAGCAGTTTCAAGCAGTGCTTTGACTTATTGAAAAGGGTACAGACGAGCAAAATAAGCACGTAGACCTTCACTTGAAATATAAGCAGCAGAAACAGCCCAGTGCATTTTGCAGAGCAATTCACTTTAAGAAGTTCAAAGAATACTTTCTTCTTCAAAGTCAAATTTCACCACCACCGGCCGGGCCATGCTCCACTTCTTCTGATTCCTGTCCTCGATGAACTCCTGGTAAGGATCTTTCTTTGAAATAGCTTTCTTCGAGCGTACATAACCAAAAAAGACAGTTAATGCCAGGAAAGAGTAGAACAGCATGACAAAGAGGATGAAGAAATAGGCATTGTCATATGGTTTGTATTGTGGTTCTTTCTGTTCTGTAGCATTTTTCTTCGTGTCCAGGTTCCTTTCCAGAAGTCGCAGAACACATTGAGAGATGAGAGAAGCTAGAGCTGTTTGGTTCATGTTGGTGAATTAAAAAGCATACAAGAAAACACAGAGGAGAATGAGCACAATGGGGCCCCAAGCGATGCTTCATTGAAGTGGGAACCTATCCACCAGCTTTCACAGGATTTGGATCTGGCCTGCAATCATTTCCTCTTTTGGTAAGGAATGCTGTAAAGCACTTACTGGGTCTCAGTCATTTGATAATGAGGCATTTGGCTGATAAGCCTGCCTTGCCTATGAAGTGAAGTCTATTAATAATAACAATAATGGAACAATAATATGGAACATACATCTGCCAGGCAGTTTTAAATGTGCGATTATTTTCCTCCTCCCTCACTGTATTTGAGGAGCAGATCTACTTCACTCACGAAGTGAAAGGCACCTGCTGAATATGTTAAGGGGCTGGGAGGGAGCAAAACACCAGAGGAAGGAATTCTCGCTGGTTTGACAGAGATAAATAAAACTCAGATTTTCAGAGAAGCATCTTCAGCTGCCCTTCTCAGGTGAATTCTCTCAGCATCTCAGTCAGTGTGCTGGGCCAGAAGACTGCCCAGAGCCCGACACCTTTCCACACAACCCCTACAGAACGGCCATCAAATTCCCCAGCTGTGAGTAAACCAGCATTCAGGAAGACACCCAATGCATCATTCCAACTAGTTGCTTCCTCCAAGCTAAGCATAACTTTTTTTTTTTTACATTCAACTGAAATTAGACCATTTCAAAGCTCAGGTGGGAATCTGAATAATTTAATTTAGCATTGGGAGTCTGGAGCTGTATGCTGCCATAAACATGGAGCACACCAGAAACACAACAAATAATATCCAGACAGAAAGGAACAGCCTAAAAAGTTGTTCTGGAAAATAAAAACCGTGACTGTCACTGACAAGCAGACTGCACTGAGTATTTTCAGGCAAGGAGGTTAAGTCTTCCTCAGTGTGGTTTACCACAGGTCACTCTGCTTGCACAATAACAGCAGAGCAGCGCTCTCCGAATTCCTACTTCCTATTGTGTTTTACAGGCTAGGTCACTCCAAAGTAAATTGTTGTTTTACAAAGTAGTGAAACCTTATCTTGCTACAGAAAAAAAAAAGCCAGTCCTTACTGCCACAAACGACAATGCCAGCTGTTTCTTTCTGTGATCTGAGTTCTGGGGAGTAAGCACCATGACTTTGAAGTGGAGAGCACATCACCGGACTAGCAGTTTGCCAACTCTGAACTGTTTCTTTAGGCCTGACCCCCTGAACTGATTGTATGATGACTAATTCACATGCTAAGATTGCAGTATATCGGTATCACTAAACAGCCTGCATTTGTCATTAAGGGTTTCTTGTAAAAAGAGAGATGAAAGTGAAGTCTGTAATCTTATATGAGCAGCAGTCTATGGCATAAGTACATTTAGAATATGCCACTCCTAGAAAAAAACACTCAGCTCCACATTTTAACTATTTGTTTTAAAATTAGAAAGAAAAAGAAAAAAATCCCCATAAAGAGCAATGCCAAATCCTGTTCTTAGTTACAACTAAGTTATGGGAGAGATCTTATTCACCTACTCCTGCATAGAAAGAATGAACGTGGAGGACCTGGTGGTGTTCTGAGGACACTGAAGAAAAGCTTTATCTTTAGTTTAACTACTACTAAGATACATTTTCTAAAGTAGTATTAGACCTTCGGGGGAACTGTGCCCAGTTTATATTCATGTAACTGGAAGAGGATTTTCATTCAGGCTTTGCATCTATTCCAGAACTCTGCAGGTCCTTTTTGTTTGTTGTTATTAAAGAATTCGCTTCAGTAGAAGGAGCATGAGGTTCAACATAAATTAAATCAGACACAAGCTAATCCCTGTGAGCTTCTTGCCTGCATGAAAAGCTCACCATCGCTGTTGGCTAAGTTTCTCAGGCTTTCTGGTCTTAGAAAGAAAGAAATAAACAAATAAGGTGGGGGTAAAGGGACAACAGGATACTGTACTACAGCAGAGAAATAAGCAACAGAGATCACACCTGTGAATTTACAGCAACAGTTTTGAGTACACCAGTAGCAACTGGTGCTGTACCCACCCTTTTTCATGCTTCTAACAACACATCACAAGGCTTTGTATTTAGAAAAATAGATCCACACCAGCAACTTTGGAAGCTCAATTACAGCACTAACAGGGCCACACTTCTCAGTACATAACCTTAATCCCAGAGGAAGCTCACAAACTCAGAACTCAGGTACAGTAAACTCAGCTCTACATCTTCCTTTTCAGACATACCATAAGATATCCACATCTATCCCTCAGGAAGAGAGGAAACATGCACCCTTCCTTTATCACGATTAATGAATCATTTTACCAGTTTCCACATGACAACTCATGGAGTAAATCTCCACATAAGGTAAGAAAAGATGACACATAAAGGAAGCCTTGCAGCCTAAACACTTGCCACATTAGGAAAGGCTTAAAGGCTCCACATACACACATACAGAGAGTTACAAACCAAAGAACGCACGTACCACAGAAGACAGACTCTTCTCCCTCCAGCCATGCTTCTGGAGAGGCCACAACCACACTTCCCTCAGCCTTAGGAAGCATTTTGCACTGCAGCATTGATCAGAGTGGGCAGACGGAGCAGTTTGCAAAAGGCTGATAGCAGCCAGCTGTGCTGCCCTGCCCTTCCTAAAATGCTGTCGCCCAAACACACCTGTATCAAGAGCCCAATGATATGCCCCTCCCCAGTTAAAGGGAACTGTTCATTCTGTTTATCTACTACAATCAAGATTTATCCTAACTTAGGGTGTTCTGTGTGGTTTTCCACACTGAGTTGAACAAATCGATGTTCTGTTAGGTTACACAAATGCTGCTTTAGAGTTGCTTTCTCTCTCCTTTCTTTCCACCCTCCCCCTAACAGCTAAAAGTACATAATGGTGCTTTGAACAAGATCCTAAACAGCTATTTCCATAAAGTGGTCCAATTCTTTTTAGAGATGTAAGTACACAAGATTCTTCAAATGTGGAGGGACAATGAGTAAAGATTAAAAAGAAAGTAGAAGATTAAAAGGAAAAGGCCATAAGAAAAACTCAAAGGGGGGGAAAAAGATCAAAAAGAGGATTAACCATGTTACTTGTTGTTTTTCAGAAATTAAAGAAGTATGGAGGATAAGGAATTTGTTTCCTTTTGGCCCTAGAAAAATGCCAATTATGGTAGCTAAATTACCAGGATCACATATCAGTATGCTTTGGAAATGTGAGAAATGGATGGGAAATATAAACACAGGGCAATAGCTTACAGTTATGTTATGAATTAAGCCACAAAAATATCAAGATTTAGATACTGAATAAGCTGCCAAAGTTAATCTTTCCTGATGAACTTCAGCAGAATCAGAATAGAGACAACAGAACTGTAGTTTCATCAAACTTGCTTGGCTTACTCACGTTTGATATCTTCAGGTCTCAAGCACCTAAAATTTCCACTGAAATCAAAGGAAGCTGCCTAAGTACACACGGACGTAAGATGGAGCTCCTTATCTACTATGTATATTCATTTTAGGAGTTTTTTTTAAAAGAGGTTTAGGGATTAACAAAAAAGAAATACTTGGAGCTTTTTTTTGGCAAGTGAGCTTGCGATTCTATCGATACTAACACAGTTTTGTTTTCTTGTAAAGTGTTATGACGTAACAGCAGAATAACATTTTGGCAGGAGGGGAGAACAGCCTCCTCTCAGGTCCTTTTAATATAAGCCATTAACGTAGCCCTTTGCTGATGAATATGTTAAAAGAAGCAGGCGCAGATCTCGGCTACAAGCTTGTTGAGCAAAGCCCTGATGTGCCTTCCCTAGATCTACGGGGTAGTTTTACAAGTCAGCTATTTTTTCTGAGGCCCTCCAGCTGGCTTTGCCATGCCCAGCTTTCAGCGAGGTGAGCCCAGCCTGCCCCCTACAGCGGCCTGGCCTGAGGCGACGCCCAGGAGGATTCGGCCACCTGCTGCAGGCCTCCAAGGTCTCAGCGCCGGTGCTTTTGGGCTGCATCAAGAACTGACCCGAAAAATGCCCTGAAAGCAAAGCCAGCCTAAAGCTGATGCTCACAGGAGCAGTCTAATTAGGATCCAAAGCTATTAAACAGATCATCAGAACCCACCTGCAGCCGTGCAGCCTGCAGACTGACGCTTTGCCATGGTTCTTCCCCTCAGCCACCTGTGTGGACACCAGATGCTGGAGGAAAGGCACGTTAAGCAGTACTGAGGGGCGCTGTGTGCCTTCTCCACGGCAGACAGCAAACCACGTGTGTGAAGCTGTACCTGAGTTTCACCTTCAGGAGAAACTGCCCCATGGGTTTCTCAGTCTGGCTCCGCTTCCTCCCCTGCTCACCTACAAGCCAGGCTGGACTGCTGCGTGAGACAAGATGGCAGCCCCTCCACCCTCACTGCCACAGCTCCAGCTGGCCCTACAGCCAGGCGCTGTCCTTCCCAGCTCCACTTCTGAGCTTCCTCAGCCCCAGCAAATGACATACCCCAGCTGCCGGGGCTGCTTCCCTCCTGAGCTGTTAGGAACTAAGTCTCTGCAGGACAGGAGCTCCACAGAAACACCCCATCCCTACTGCCATCCCACCGCTGCCCCAGCCCAGGGACTCACCATGGCCTTCCAAAATCTCCACATGTGGCCTGGGAGCAGCCTCTGTGAGGAGCAGCCATGCTGCTGTATGTCACAAGTCTCCATCCTTGTCCTGGACACAAAATTACATGTTTGGGCTGCACATGGCTTGTCTCATGGTCAGCACTGCTGTGCCCCATGGCCCACTGCCACCACAGCAGCACTGCTGTCTGCAGGTGTGCAGGCCCAGAGCACCGAGGCAGCCACAGCTTTTGGAAAGAGCTTGTGAGAGAAAGACTCGCTGGACTGGCACAGCTGGAAAAAATGGTCCCTTGGTGGACATTGGCAGAGCAGAGGGCTGGAGGTTGCTGGAGAAGTGCTGAGGAAACGGCAGTGGAGGAGGGAGCAGTGGAGGAGCCCCAGTCCGTAACTATGCCTCATGAGACTGTGGGCAGAGCCGTGGGGGAACAAAGGAGCTGAGGGAAGCAGGGAGAATCCAGTTGGAGACAGTGATCCCCTGAAGAATTGGGTCAGTCAAATGCCAATAGCAGACCTGAAATGGGGCACAGCACATGGGAAATCTCAGCTCCCTGCAACACCTCTGAATGCCCCATGGACTCTTCACCACACAAGACTCGGGGTGACCAAAACAGCATTTCAGAAGCCTCTAGAGATTTGTACACTTTGTAATTATTCCAGTATTCATTGTGAAGACAGTTGTGTGAGGGTGGGCCACAAGGAAAGTTGTCCATAGAATCATAGAACCATAGAATGTAGAACAGTTTGGGTTGGAAAGAACCTTAAAGAGCAGCTAGTATCAGTGCCCTACCATAGCCAGGGACGCCTTCTAATAGAGCAGGTTACCCAAAGCCCTGTCCAAGCTGGCCGTCTCAAAACTGAGTACATGTAATAATCACCTAAAAGAGCTGCATTTTTATAGGTATATCCACTTGAAATAATTACAAACAAATAAATGTATGTGGGGAGAAAATATTACTGAAAATGAAATTGCATCCATATGGGGAAAAAAAAAATAAAACAACAAAAAATATGGATTATTGCACAGAGACCAAAGAAAAACTGAGAACAAGATACCAGCATGAGAGCCAAGAGGAAGAGAGTGCAGGAAGAAACAAGCAGCTTAGCCTTTGGTTATGGCCTAAGGAACAACCTGCAGCAAAGATGAAGACACCAAATAGTTAATAAAGCTTCTGAACTGTTTCCAATTCTTGAACAAGGAAGCAATAGTTCTGTTCTTATCAGCAACTGCTCTTTCGTATTTGTATATCAAGCTAGCTTTATTAAATTATTCAGCAAAGGTCAGATGTGATGTGTCTTCCTAGTTTTATTATGATTTTCTATGACATTGCCTGAGTAGCTGAATAATAAACGGTGCATGTCAATATGCTGCAGTGCTGAGATATCCACAGGCACTCTGGATCACGAGACTACACCCATCAGTTCTGAGGCAACGTAAGTGTATTCAACAAAGGTTTAAGCTACATATAAGCACTTCTGTGTGTTGCTTGTATAAACACAACAGTGAAACAGAACCGAGCTCCAGCACTGTGTACATACACTGATTTTGAAGCCTACTTGTGCAATATATAGTTTGTAAATATTTGAACCAGTTCCTTGCTAATAATCTAACTAGTTGAAGCCTTCAGCTCCTTACAACTGATCAGAACTTCCCAGCCTGGAGTGAGCTGCCCAAAAGTGCTGGGAGAAAATAGGTAGTAAAAAACTGGCAGACCTAAGTGGCTATTACCTACAGTGACAGCAGAAGCAGATTGAAAATTTGGTTATTTTACAATAGACCAAGATCTTCAAATCCGTTTGTGTGATTCTTTAAGATAACTTTATGACTCCATATGATATATGCCCAGATTCATAGTTACTGAAAGATGCATAAGGCTTTTTCAGCACTGGCAAATGACAATTACAGTGTCTTCTATGTAATGTAAAGGAAATACATATCTAATGTTAATTGAACGAAAATTTAGTGCTTTAGTTTAGTGTAGTAATTTGTGTTGTTCCAGATTAGTTTATCTGGCTCTAGGCAATATCTAGACATCATTGCAAAAGCCAACATAAATTAAAAATAGGATGTAGGTTTTCTTTCAGTTGTCAAGTAACAGAACACTGCAGTGAACGATACAAAGAGCATTATGAATTCAAGCTGTTCCTGGTTCCTGATGGTCTCATTGATATTGCCTAAAATTTATTTCTTACTTTTGCAGACATATCTTTTAGCAATCCACTTCACAGACTTTAAGGTCAGAAGACTGTGTGGATAGCAATGAAAACTTTCATGGTTACTGATGCAGGAAAAATGTTTGCTTTACAAATTAGCAGTAACCAACATCGCTCTGTTTTTTCTGGTTGATTTTATTTTTATTTTTTTTAGAGAGTATGGGTTATTTTTTTATAAAAGGAAGACGTAAAATCAGTAATTTTTCTAAAAATCAATAATAAATTGAAAATCAGGATTGTACCAGACTAATAAATATTTGTTCATCAAAAGCTGTCTTTCAGAAGTTCCCAAGTCCTACACCTTGGTTTAAACAGCTGTTGTTGTTTATTTCCACCTCACAGCACATGCAACACACATATTGCTCCCCACCCCACACACAGAAAGAAAAAAAAAAGAGAAAAAAAAGAAGAGGGAAGACTCCTGTAAGTGAGTATGTTTTGGATTCAATTGATATAACATTCCACTAAGCTTTTCCATGGCATTTATGTCAAATGAAATACCCACAGCAGTCTCATGCTCTTTTGACTTTCTGAGCACTTAGGATTTGTATTCCAGAAACACATGTGGCTCCCAAGAAGCTCTTCAGCCTTGGAAGTGATAACAAGGAGGGATCAGAGTACCCCAAGTAATCCTTACAGCTCTGTCAACAATTCCTATGGCACATCATAAATCAGGAGAAACCTGCTTCGTCCCTCTGCCCCAGCTCCTCATTTCTTCCGAGCTCATCCCAGCTCCCTGACTGCATGGCTTGCCTGCAAGAGAACAGGATGACTTTCTCCATATCTGTCTCGTTTCCAGGCTTGCCAGCTCTTTATTAGTCTCTCATGCAAGGAAAATCTTGGGAGACACTTGAAAAATAGAGGATCAAGACAGCAAAAATGCCTGCTGTTGAGCTTTGTGTCCAGAAAGCACCTCTCCAGCATCTCCGCAGGGACGGAGGGAGAAATGCCAGCTCTGTTCCACCCCAGTTGCTGGAACGTTAGAAGACTGATGGCAAAGTTGGAGTTAGAATCATTCCGCCTGCACTAAAGGTACAGCCCTTTGGGGAAGAAGCAATCACACCATCTAGTTCCTAACTGCAAGTGGCTTTTATCCTGTACTGTAACTGTAACTGTATCCTGTTACAGTTTATGTACTGCAAACCGGGGAAAAAGGCTCATTAGACCTTTGTGGCAAGCCTACGACAGTGCACAAATGCCATCAGTCAAGACCTCAGAAAGGGAAAGACAATGGAAAAAAAGATCAGAAAAATGAGAAGCTTAGAGCAGGAAATAGGTATTAATAAGAGACTTAAATTTCAATTGCCACAGAAATCAAAAGCGTACCAGAGAAACGTAACCTAGAAGGGAGAAAAGAAACCCCCTCTCTCCATATTTCAGCATTTTTAAATGCCTTCCTCTCAAAAATGTTATTCCTTCATTTTCTAACTGATAAGATAGCTATTTTTCTTCCAAACAACGAAATAAAAATAAACACTCAATAAGTACATTAGAGCTAAAAATTTCAAGATGGCTAATTCCCTCACAAAATGGCGGGGAAGTTAAATGCCCACCAACCCTCTAACAACAATGTACCACTGAAATGTATTCCAACCGTCTGGAGGGGTCTTTCCCCATGTTTCAGTTGCTTTTTGCTAACTGCTAACAAATTCCTGAGGCATTTAAGGATGAAAAAACAATCAGTGCAGAAACTGCCCATAACCCATTTCTCATTAGAGTTGTAGCACAGTGTGAAACCATCCTAGCTGACCTACTGGTGCTGAGTTCAAGCTCTTCGAATGCACAGTAAAGGCATGAGGTTTTTGTTGTTGGGAAGACATACAGTACTAATAGTGCTTGGAAAAAGACAAACCCAGACCTCTGAGCAGCAAACAAGCAGCACCTGCGCACTGAGGCTGCCCAAGGCTGCTCTGGATTGTGTGCAGAAGACATTGACATAAGGAATACACCTTGAGTTGAAGATAACATGGTTTATTTCTTCATGATATTCAGATTAAAATGTACCAATGTATTTAGCACAATACTACACTTTAGGACAAAATCATCAGTGCTTTGCAAGGCTTCATAACTGTTTATTCATTATAAATAGTAAATATTTACTGAACTTTTTACATGAAAGACGTTTGTTTTTTGTTTTTGTTGTTTTGTTCGTTCGTTTGTTTTTTTACAACATGTTGTTGGTAGAGGCTGTAACACAAAGATTTCATTTTTCCCTCTCCCTTAAGACCAATGTGCGAACTAACCTCTGTACTGAATCTAGTCTAATGCTCTACTTCATTGTCCTTAACACTAAAAGGAATGTATTTGTGTTCTGCCTCTCTCTTTGTTCAAAGAATAGAGAGAAATAAATAACACCGCCTTCCATCTTCCTGTTCCTCTCAACATCACAAAACACAAATTTATTGACATTCTAAAATGTCACAATGCAAACTTCTTGTAAACCTTGGTTCCTATAATTAATTTCTATATTGGATATCACTGTATAATTTAAACAACTGTGTTGTGTACAGGCCCATCTCTGTTCATGTCCTGTACATCACTAAAAAATGTAAACGTAATCATTTTTCATTACCGTTTCCTGAAAATGACCTTTAAATCATGATTAACAAGCTGGATTTTAGCTGTCCAGCACACTGCAACATTTCTGTATTTGATCATTAGGAATTATGCACTGCAAAAATAAAAGTACCTGCAAAAATATAGTTCTGATTCTATCTATATGACTTTGGATGATTCCAAAGTTTGTGTGAGGTACACAGTATTGCACATTGCTAGGCAGTTGTGAAAAAATCAGTCACGTCGATTTTTTTCCTCCATGTTTCTTCAAAAAGGTACAATGGACCAGGAAAACTCCACATAAAAAGAGAGAATGTATTTTCCATGTTACATGAGATCTTGTCTCTTGGTAAAGCAAAACTTGTGACATTTATTGACAACATGATTACAGAAGCATAGTAAGATTACCAGTAAGTTGCTCTGGAAGCCTTTTGCATTTATCCTAGCTTCCCAAGGTCTGTGACATTTCCTCTTGATGACAATTTCCAGTGTGTAACGAAAGAGGTTCTGCTGCCCATGCTTCAGAAACTGGGCAGCTTTAACTGAAGTTTGACTGAAGTTAGACTGAAGTCAGCACTGGATGCCAGATGAGTCAGAGTATGCAGAGCTCAACTGCTAAATTTCAGAATGTTCCATTTGTCCCAATCAATGCATATTAATTTCAACAAAAAAAACGGAATGTTTTGCCAGGCAGCAATATTAAATTCTGCTCTGTTTTGTGTACCCACTCATAATGAACTATGTCGCATTTATTTATTCATTATTGCTTTTGGCCTTTGTCTTCTGTATAGCTTTGTTCAGTCTTCAAAAGTTTACTAAAAGCTATGACTGGAGAGAACAGAACAAGCCTACTTCTCTCACTGGGACTGCCCCAGTTTAGACTGCAGTGTGTTGAGAAGATCCCTGGTATCCAAGCTCTGGAGCGAGACCGGAAAACAACACCAGCTTTAACTTGAAGTGGACAGTTCATTTATGCAATATCTGGCTTCAGATAATGAAAGGCACCTGCAAAAAAAAACAAAAGAAGCTTTTTAAGTCATGCTGTGACAACCTCACAGCATGGGGCCATGCCAACTACAGGTTGACATTGTCATATTTAATATTGAGATATCAAAGGAAAGGGACTAATATTTTTATTCCTGGGACAAGTTTGACAAAACTCTACGTATCTGGGATTATATACTGTAATGATTCTTGAGCTGACCTCATTAAGAACATGTGTTTCTAATAATGGAATGCCAGTGGTTATTTCGATTTGGACAGCCCTTATGTTTTACCTAATGGCAATCAGGTTTCATGTCTCAACAATTAATAACATCAAGATGTTGTTGACATCACTTAAGAAAATAATTATGCAGCAGAAATCTTGCTCAAACAATCAGCTATCTCACCACTGCACTCCACTTGATTTTGGAGAGTAGTAGCAGTTAGCCATTAGTATCTATTCCTGCAATTTCCTTTGTTACAGACAAACAAATACATACAACTGATAAATGATTGCATCGCAGCACTCACTTTGTCCATATTGCCCATACTGGTAGCCCGTGACAGGGTCCATGCTGTAGCCGGTGGTGCTGTAGGTTGGTGGGCAGTAGGACTGGGACGTAGGCAGGCTGTCTAAACTCTTCATGTGATCTAGCCGCTGACTGCAGCTGGCTGAGACAGTGGTGGTGGGCTCCAGACCTCCAGTCAGAGGGGACAGGGCATAATCAGTTTGGGGCTGGTGAGGCACACCACCATGATTAGTCAAGAGTCCCATTACCTAAAACGAAAGGTAGAATAATTGAGTAAAAACACATGGAAGACTGTATTGTTGTAGGAGCTGTAGGAGTCCGCAAGTCTTTCATTGATTTCCTAAAACAGGTAGACTTGGCATTCAATCTACGCTTAGCTAACTAATACAAAGAGCAGAAAAAGCTGTATTACCCATCAAAATAAAAACGGATGACTAGGAACCCACAAAAAGGGCAAAGAAGGAAAAGTAATGTCAAAAACTATTGTGATCTTTGTCTGTCTGATCTTGTGCCCCAACCAGGATTTCTGCAGATGTTTATTCCTTGGGAACTCAACCATAATGGAATAAGAAACAGATAGTGACTCTTCACCTATGCAGTTCTGCATGGTCTAGCAACGCAGAAAAGCTATGAACAAGTTTACATACTTTTTTATTTTAATCTAAGATCAGCAGCCTCTAAAATGAAATTAATTTGGAGCGAATCACAGCAATACCATTGACAGAAGTACCAAAGATCCCAGCACCAAGAACATATGAACGTAAATATGTGGGGAAGAGGCAGAGCAGCCCTAACTCCTGTCACTGGATACACACTGCGTGCCAGTCTGAAGATCTGAAATGCAAAAAGGTGCTGCTCATTATACCAGTTCTCAACTTTATCCTGAGTTAGAGGAGACAACAGAAATGGTCTGGCTGTCCAGACTGACTTCAAGTCAGCTGTGCTGTGACTCCCTTAATAAGCTGCCCATACAGAGCTATAAAATCGACAACTGAATTGAGATTAAATGGAAAGAGCTAACTGGAGAATACGTGCGTGTGTCTACAAAGGCTCAGCCCTCTAAGGTGTAATTTCCAGTAGAAAAGCACAAAAGATTTCAAAAGCATCATGGTTTTGAACAGGAGTCAAGGAAGCTGCAGTGCTAAGTTCTTGGTTTACAAACATCAACTCACATTATAGGCTGGTGCGTATTTGCGTTCCCAGCACATTTTGCAAGTAAGTTCTGTTGAGAGAATTGCTTGCTTCTGCTGGACAAAGTTGCACTTCAAAGCTTGAGAAACAATTTGCAGGTTAAGATAGAGAGGCGACGTTCTGCCAAAACAACATAACCTATAATTTTAAGTTGGTCTTCCTCCAAAAAAGCATTACAAATATCTGACACACACTTTCTGATAATCATTTTGCTTCACTGTACTTATTCTGACCTACCAAAAATTATTAAATTTGCAGTCTGTTTTGTGAAGAATAAAGCCATGCTCATAGAAATAGATCTGGTTCCTAAAGTTTTGGTGTCCCTTTTCAAATTGTATTTATTTTCCATTGCAACAGAAGAGGGATTTTTGTTGCAGAGAGCTCATAGTCCCAGCTCAACAAGCTCTGAATTATTTGTTTTTAATCAATAAATGAAACAAGCCCCAGGGATCACAGTTAGAGAGTAGGAAGGAAGACAAATCCAGGTCCTGCATGTCTAATAAGGAAAAGAGCAAAAGGCATAAGCAGAGGACTTCAAAAAGTAACGCCCAGATGCCTGCATCACACATATAAATCATGTCTTGAGATGCACTCAGCACACCTCACTGTGAAATCCTAGCACTGAAGTTAAAAACACCAAGAACTTGGATTCAGGTACAGAATGTTATATATTTTTTTATATATTTATACTTAATTCAAATCTCTTTTTCAAGTCACGAAAACCTGTTAAAAGAATTTGAGATTAATATGATGCAATTTAAAAATCCTTTGAATGACCAGAGATTAAGAAATCATCATACTAGAAAGGCAACCTGAGTGGTATTTTGTCACCAAAAAAAAAAACCACTAAAAGCTGAGATTACGGGACTCCCAAGTTTTCCTCCTCAAACTGAATTCTGAAAAGTATTACAAATTTTCAAGATTATTTTAGTAAGTTCTGCTGTTTTAGGAAATACACATATTTTTCTTGCACTGTTGGAAAGGGACATGATTGTGAAAATGTAGCATGTTTAACGAACGGACATTGCATCAGCAGCATACAATGTTAGATACGTTATACTTTCAATGAACATAGGTTATATTAATATTCATCGTTTAAAATCAAGGTTGCGAACTTAAAAGAATAAGAAATTCCACCCAAAAAACCCACATATCTTAACATAAATGTTTATGTTAAAAATTACTGCTGTGAAAAATATTTACTTTGGCGCAAGCATCATGGTTTTGACTACAGTTTTAAACATCCATGGTTTATCAGAAATCTGAAATAAGTGCACAGCCCTTTCCATTCCTGTATAGCACCTATGAAATCCCAATATTTACAGCATTTTACCATGTTCTGTTCCAAGTTCAAGAGCAGGGAGAACAACCTGAGCTCGTGTTGCCCTCACAGCCCCGCTGGAGTCCTGATGCCACTCCTCTGCACTTGAGCTCTCACACCACATGCCATCTCTACCAGGAGTTTTATGATGGATTGCTAAGTTGGGCAAATAGCTATTTTGCCAACTACACACTCTAAGTAACTTAGGTCTTTTCTGTTTAATATTTTCAACAGAACAGAGCCCAAAACAATTTTTTTTTTTTTTAAATTAACCAGAAAATTGTACAAGCCTTTAAACATCCTTTATAAGATGCTCCTAATAGATAGTCTGGAGAAGAACTGGCACAGCACCCTGTCTTTGAGGTGGGGAAAACTGGGATAACCATCTTCGTAGAAATGTCTTCTTCAGAAGCCTTAGGAATCATGCTGTAGTTGATTAGTATCTAAATAATTAGATTTTTGGTTATGTCTGTTTTGAAAGCTACAAGGGAAGTAGCCTTAGGGCAGAAGTCTTTCATATGGTATGTGCCATGACCTTATCACCCATACAAGAAGTTACAGGAAGGGCATGGCTGACTTTCACCTAATCAATTAGATAGCCATCAATGGGCCGCGTCTGCAAGATGCTCAGCACCTTCAGCTTAGTAGCATACAAAAGACACAGGAAGGTCTGGGTTTTGCAACACAGATCTTCTGCTAGCATTAAACAGTATAATACTAAATAAGTAAACAGATCTGATCTTTTTTCATTAACCATTGTGAAACATTTATTCAGTCCACATGCCATTAAAATTACCGGAAAATGTGCACTTGCCTCTGAATTAATTGGGGAAAATTGAAGTAGTAATTGTCACCCTCACCAATCTGGATCTCAAAGAAATTAAAAGAAGGAAAATCAAGGGCAGATCTAACATTGAGAACCAAATGCTGCTGTAATTGTTCCATTTATTTTAGAAAATAACTCCTACGAATGCAAAAATTCAGGCTGGTTTACATCACATGTTTTGTTTTCCTTAGAAGCAAAAAATGTTGATCTGTAGCCTTTGAGTTTACACAATAAAAGACAGCGTATATAATTAATAAAGTTATTTGTGTATTCTGTTAGCAGAAAATGAAGGTGTATTTAGGAATATCAAAAAGAACACTATGAATGGTAACAAGTCAACTCTATAAAAGTTTTCACGGAGCACATCCCAAACATCCGAAACATTCATTGGAACAAGTCTCTAGCTGTTGGAGTTGACACAGCATCTCTGGGTAAAGTTATGATCCAGGAGGAAGAGAAATCGAGTGATGAAAGCTTCAACGCCACGTGCACAACATCTGGTCCACTATCAGCTGGTAGAAAATACTTCTATCATTAACGAAATAAAGTCCGTTAAAGTGAGAAAAGCTCATTCCATTTAAATGAAGCACTATGCCCATTAATGTGGTTGATATTTAAGGATGTAGGACCTACCATAAGCGCAATAAAATTCTCATATGTTTTAATTCATTTACGCATGCCTGCATTTAATATGCTTTGTGACCATGTCTGCAATTAATATGATTTATGAGAAAAGAACATGTGCAATATTTTTTGGGTACAGTGATACATTTTTTCCCCCTCCTGTGAATGAAAGATTTAATGAAACAGCTCAAGGAAAATTGTTGGCAGTTAACGTATTAAGTTGAACTGACAGAATCACGAGTAAACTTTAGTGGAGTTAATGATATCCTCTTATCTGACCCTGACACATTTGCAGCATGTAATTTACAGAAGCTCTGTCCAGGGAATCTTGACAAATGCTCCTAACGATGTCAGGGCAATGTTCCATTCTAATGTAAAACAGATGTGGGTCAGATACCCTCATTCATCACAAACACTGCAAATTTCAAACTCCTTCTGAGATGAATGGCATTACCTGCTGTTAACTCTTTTCACTGCAGAAAAATCTCTCACAAACAAAATACTGCACTGTAAAGCACATAAAAATGTTAGCCCTAATGTACTATAATGGCAGATTTCAGTAGATTGTATAAAATTAACTAGCTACATGGATCTATACCTATAGGATCACAGAGCTGCATTTCTGACTCATTTCTTAAACATGAATATTTCTGCTGGATATGTGAAGAAACCCAAGAGTAAGAATTCTGTGCCAACTGGCAAGCACTTGGAACCAAACACTTGGTTAATAAAAATAGGAGCAAATATATCAACTTTGAAGATCCGATGATCTGACCTTCTGTGTACTTGAATCAAATGAGGCCTCGTACTGATTTCACACCACTAGACATCAGTGGTAGCTACACTGAAATCAGAGAAGGTGCAGTGGTGTTACCATTTAGGACAACTGAGAGGATAACTTGATCCTACAAGAATTATATTTTTAACTACAGGAGATTACTGATGTCCACAACATTACCCCCGTTTGTCTGTAAACTAGTGCCTATTTTCAGGCACTAGATCGTGGACTCACAGGACTAGGTAATTCTATCAAAATAATTAAGAGAAATTCTCTAGATCTTGTTGCATGGAGAAGCTTCAAAAATGTTAAGACTGAAAAGGCAAAATAGAAGGCCCAAAGATGAATATATGTTCAATTTTATATCATATATTATTTATATATTTTTAATGTAGTTAAGTATACATACTTAATATCCCAAAATTGTTAGGCAGTCTTAGGGATTGTAGGTACTGGCTTGTGAGTTTAGATTGTTCAATATGGCAATATTACTTAGAGTTGTTCATAG